TCCGTAGGTGGTAGACGGTCTCTGACTGTCGTACGCGGAGGTACCACCCGGCGGATCTCGTAGGCGGAGCCAGAATGTGTGTATGTTGCATGCACAAGTGTTCCCTCCGTGTGGCGTTCCCCCTTTCCCATGTATCCCCCTATATAGCCCCACGGTACCCAATGGGTGCTTAGGCCTTAGGCCTTCGTGGTAGTTGGAGTATAAAAAAACCTATAAAGAGCACCATTCACAGAAGATGCAATGAGCGTTTGCAACAGAATGTTATGGTTGACACAGTCAAAAGCCTAACTCAAGTCGCAAAATACCCCAACCGAACACTCTCCTCCCTCAATGGATGAAATCAATCCTTCATAGAACGAATGGATTGCTGTTGGTGTTGACTTTCCACTAGAGAATCCATGTTGACATTTTTCTTCTCAAAAAACATCATCATCATCATCATATTGATGGTTGGTATTTTTTTTCTCTAATCAGTTTTCTGCTCTGCTGAGCTGAGGAACATCGAGGCTTCTATGTACGTACAGTGCATCAGATATACAAACTAAGCCCATGCGTCATAACCTCTGCATAATTTTATCTAATATTGTATTTCTTCTTACACATCTGCAAGGGAATGGTATGGAGATGATGCTGTAGGTTACGTCCATCTTAAAAGAGACGATAAAATCTGCAGAGTAAAATGTAAAATATGTCCTGATCATAAGGTAGGTTCCAAGAAATACACAGCGTAGCGTATATTTATTTTCATGGGCACTCTAATCCACAACTTTTTGTTGGGATCTTTATCGAGGCGCTTTTACAATCTCGGACGATACAATAACGATAGCTACTATATTTTTCATGTAAGCCAGTACAAATCATCTTTATATGTATAAAAGTTTGAGAGGTTATGTTGCTGTCAACTGCTGTTTACAGTCGGTATGACGCCGGAGCACATTAATACACATGGGCCAAACATGGCGAACAGAGTTTTCGAATGTCCAAAAAAAATATATTATTATATAAGTTTTACGATCTTTTAGGTCTGAAAAAATTTGTCTTATTTCTTGTCTAATAGGACAAATATTAAGTGTTTAAGACCTACTTTAAAAAAGTGTCAACTAGCGTATTGTCGTGCGACACAAACCATGATGTCTTGCTGTCTATCTTAAAGTCATGTGGATTGTCTACTGACAGCGTAAAACTTTTTAATTCATACTTAAGTGGCAGATCACAGTGTGTACAACTGACGAATGAAATATCTAGTTCAAAGCCCACTACCACAGGTGTACCGCAAGAATCTATACTTGGACCATTGCTCTTCACTATATATACCAGTCAGATCCTTAAATGTTTGGAATTCTGTAAGTCACACGTTTATGCAGATGATACCCAGCTGTACTATTCTTTTCCTAGTTCAGATTGGCCAGCTGCTGAGTTGAAAATAAACAGTGACTTGACTAACCTCTCTAAAAGATTGCAAGAGCATTCATTAATATTAAATCCAAATAAATCAGCTGCTGTGATCTTTGGTAAAGACCGTTCTTATGTGATTGAGAATTTAAATATAACCATAAATAATATTAGATTAAAATACTGTGATAAAGTTAAAAACTTAGGCTTAACAATGGATTATAATCTGAGGTTTCGTGAGCACATATCAAAGTGTATCAAAAAATCTTATCTGGCTCTAAAATTATTGTATCCTCACCGAAATTTTCTCAATTTAGACATCAAAAGAATTATTCGCGAAACCTTGGTTTTATCACAGTTTCCGTACTGTGTTCCAATTTATTCTGCATGTTTAGATTGTGATACGTTCATGCGAATACAGAGAACACAGAACTCATGCATACGTTTTATATATGGCATAAGAAAATATGAAAGAGTTAGTCATAAGCTGAAAGAACTCCGGTGGCTAAATATGAAGGCTCGTTTTGAGATATTCACAATATGCTTTTATCATAAAATTTTAACTCTCAGGCAGCCTCATTACCTCTACGAGAAAATAACATTCAGAAAAGACATCCATTCCGTCAATATTCGTTCGAAACAAAACATTACCGCTCCATTCCACAGAACTAAATTTTATGAAAGATCATTTACGTATAATATATATAAGCTATACAATCCTATCCCCCAGTACCTCAAATCATATGAATTTCACAAGTTCAAAGCGGTTTTGCGTAATTCTTACCTTGAATGTATAAAGTAGAATTATTCTTACTGCGGAATTTCAATTTTATTTTGTTTGCATTCCATTATTTTATTTATATTTTTTTTTTTTCATATGATGCATAAATGTACGTATATGTATTTGTATATCATTCTAGACTTTTACATTTACCACCATGTTTTCTCTTTGCTCTTTTTTTCAAACTTAATTGTCGCTCATATTGGCGTTTGTTTATGCGGTATGTATGGGTATATATATATATCTATATATTATTCTAGACTTTCTTTTTTTTTAAATTTATCACCACATGTCTCACTTTTCTATCTTATTTTTTTTAAAAACTTACATGCTGTTCATATTGATGTTTTTATATGCTTGATGGATGTATTTACTGTCATAATGTTTCTTACAATTTCAAGGGATGAGCGGAAGAGCACTAGATAGTGAACTCCCCCTTGTGGTTTTCAGACAGTCGACATTTGTTTTGTTTATTTTTTTATATTTTCCTTTTTTTTGGTTAATACTCATGTTGCTCTTTCTGATTTTTTTTTGATAACTGTTTTGAAATAAAGGCATTTATTATTATTTTTATTATTATTATTATTATTATGTGTAAACCCTTGGGGTATATTTTGTGTGATCGTATTCATCTTTTAGTCATGTGAACCTACTACAGATCAAGAGGAAACATGCAGGTGCGGAGATTGCAAATGCGAGGACTGTAAATACAAAACGCAACACAAAGGTGACTGTGCCTGCCCAACCTGCAAATGCAGAGACGGTTAGTATCATTCTTGTATGCGTTGGATTAAAAATAGGATTTAGCCAGAAATAATACAGGACAGGGATATTGCTTTACCCTAAGCAGTCAACAAAGATCATTCTACCAGGCAAAAGCTACACATTTCCGAACTGATGATTCCGTTATGATGACGATAGGGTATGTGTCTTCCTAAAAGGCACCTTTTGTTATATGTCATGATTACTGAAATTTTTTATTGTCTGAAGAATACAATCATTCTTAATCACAAAGCCAACTTAAAATTGGGTTTTCGTATATGGATCTTAAGTACATATCAGAAAGTATTTAACTTCTCGGCGGAATATCTTCAAATTGTTGATTCTTTTGATAGCATCAAGGAGGCACATATAATTTTTCAGACCATTATCAATTATATTGAGTCTCTCACAGGTCTTGGATTAGGTACTGCTTATTTAAGATCCTGTTTGATAGCGTAGCCTGTATTTAAGGTACCAAATTTAGATAGAGTTGCTGTTTCTAAAATAAGCAATGATACGACAGTCATTATTTCAAGGTTTAGAGATAGAGGCCTGCATATAGCTATAGGATTGCCTTTAGTTATACATTTAACATTGCGTTTTTCTGGAATAAACTATTTTGGGCACAGCACACCAAAAGGGAATGCTAGATCTCAATCTACTTTCAAATAAGGCAAAGTAACAAACTGCTTAAGATTTTGCGTTTATCTACGTTTGTTACTATTTATGCTAATAACAAATTAAATATTTGCTAATTGAGTAAGCAATTGGCCTACATAATTAGTAGGGTTTTGTGTACCAAGTCATTATTTAAATTTGTAGAGGGAGCATTTTGTGTTAAATTTGTGATCGATTATTTAAATACGTTTATTTAAAGCAACTGACTGAAGTTTCAGTATGGATTTGTTTGATTTTTTCAATGTCAATTCCTAATAAATATTTTATCCTCAGACCTACCAGGAGGAGGTACAGCCCAACGCACAGCACCAAGTGGCAGGAGACACCCTAACTGCAAATGTGTAGAATGCACTTGCGTCGAATGCAACCCCGACGAGCCATACTTGGAGAAGAAAGAATCAGAGTGCAAGTGCGGAGACTGTAAGTGCGTCGAATGCAAGTACAAAGCTACGGCAGCGCATACACCTGAGTGCACGTGCAAGGAGTGCAAGTGCGATGGAGAGAAAAAACCTGGTGAAGCAGGTGCTGAGCCTGGAATGGTCTTGACTGATCCGCCACCGTTCGAGGTGAGATTGCAGAATTAATCAAATATCAGCGAAAATTTACTTTTGAACAGTCTGTTTTCTTGCATGTAGTTTATCAAATACCTAGCAAACCTAAGCGTGGATTTGGAGAGATTGTTAGCCTTTCCAAATATTAGCGAACATATTTACAACAGAGTTTCACTGCTTATCAAACCGACTTTTTAATATCCGACACTTGTTTCGCTATGTTAGTGTCTTCAGGGGGAGATTAAATCTAGTGTTGTGACGGTAATGCCAATTTTACTTTAATTTCCATTGTTTGGTCCGCCGCTGTTTCTCTTGGCACTAAATTTGGTCGCGCCTATGGTTTTTTGGAAGAAAGAGGAATCGCGTACTTTAACCGCAGGAGAAAATAGTAGCTGTCGAATCGCTAGAACCGCTGTTAGAATCACGAACTTTTGCTAACGCTATTATTGTTAATCCGCCATGTTTTATAAACGCTGATTACTGCGCAAGTGGCTGTTATTTCTTCAAACTCTTGTATATACATATTTAGAGCTGACATTTTTACTCGGTCACAGATGAGTCTTAAAAATTTATAAAAAAAAATATTCCATACTGAAATGCGCTGAACTGTTTATAAAGTTAGCACGCAAACTAAAGACACAATCATGTTTCAAACTGTCTTAGACTAGTTAGTATGTAGCATGTGCTAAATGGCTGCATTATTGATGACTACATGACTTTGTCAAATATGTTGGTCACGTAATTCCGGTTTCTTTACGAAGAAATATAATCCCCTAGGGTAAAATACGGATATTTTGTGTCTAGCCGAGGCTTGACCCTCGGAGATTGCAACTTACCTTTTCTCCTCGCTACCCCACGTATTTTAGCCCATATCCCCAGCCGCACGCCCATGTGCGCTCCGGGGTCCGTCTAGCGTGCACGCGACCTGAGTCGGTGGGCAGCTGTTAGCAGCGCGCTCATCAGTGCTGATCCGAGGCGGCAAGTCATCAACTCGGGTCAAGCCTCAGCTAGACCCAAAATATCCGTTTTTTTACCCTTCGGGGGGAAAACGGTTCTATGTTAGGTCTGAGCCTTCGGCTTGACCCTCGGAGAAGTGTTTGGTTTCTGCCTACTCAAGTCGCGCACTGTGACAGGCTAAATGGAAAATAAACGCAAAAGCATTTAACAAAACAATGAATAACTTTATTGTGGTTCATAATGTACTATAATATAAATATAAGTAGGAACTTAAATAAGATCTTCTCTTCTTGATTCAGTAAAAATAAAAGTAATACTGAGTACAGGTACTCAAAATTGTAAAGAACAGTAAGTTCACTGCTCTCCACTACACCGGCTGAAAAGCTTCACTGAGGTAGTTATGTGTCTCAGTGTTCGACTGGTTTTGTATTTCCTTGAAATAGTGCTTGAGAAATGTGTCCTGGCGTCGCCAGATCCCTCTCGCCATCAGTTCGTCCAAGGATGAGTTAGATACCCATAAGTCCGAAGACACTGCTGAGCGAATGCTTCCTGGAGAGGCTTCAAGCCCCGCCGCCGTAAACGCCTTTCGGATCCAACCTGCGATGACTGTCCTAGATGCTCCCTTCACTTTGCCTCTTGTAGTGATGAAAAGTGAGGTTAAGTCATTGGTGGCGCTTCTTCTGGATATAGATACAGATATCAGCTTGAGAATCCAATAAACCGGGTCCAAATTACTGCCTGGACGGCTACTAATCTGCCAACCTAATTGTCGAAACGTCACTGAATCCGTCTTAGAACCAAATGCCGGCCAAAGGATGACAGAGTTATTTCTTGTTTGGAAAAACCCCTCCGAGATGTGTAGCAGCGTTAGGTCATGCACCCTCCTACCTGAGGCTACTAGCAGCATTAAATCTTTGTAGCGAGACACCTGGAAGATACTATCATCTGCAGGTGGGTTGGAAACCAGCCACTGTATGATAGTCTAAACACTCCATATGGATTTCCTTGGAGGCTGCTGTTTCAACTTAATGGCTTTCATCATTCTTTGTACTAAGGCATTTGAGGCTAAGAGCTTCGATTTTTCCGGATTTGCAAAGGTACATACTACCGACTTGTGTAATGCTATCGTATTCGGGGATAACCTACAACTTTTAAACAAGTAGCATATTTTGTTTTGTCCAAGACTTCCATCTACTCCATGCACTTCTATAGGACTTCAATGTGGAGCTCCTCCATGAAGATACTAAAAGGTCTAAGTCCTCTCTTGTCCAACCATCGATTTGCAGTGACCACCCTGAACCTTCCATGCCTCCAATTTCGTCGCACCTGGGAGGTGAGTTTCCCGTTACCAGGTCCCGGAGATTCTTCGACAAGTTGGGAATCACTATTGGCCTTTGTACTGCCCTGCTCTGAAGATCTGGACGCCAAAACACCTTTTCCCAGCTTGGCGCTATCAGGAGTTCAGATGGGACAGGGCTCTCGGGATAAGAGCCGGTGGTGGAAATATCCACGCCAACTGGTATGTCCATTGTCTGCTGAATGCATTTATGTAGTGAGCATTGTAATCTGTTGCGTCCAGGCTGACGTACTTCGGCACCACTGCCGACAAGTTTGTTGCAAAGAGGTCCACTTCCGGTGTCCCCCATTTGTGAAAAAGTTGCTGAGTGATTACATTCGACAGAGACCAGTCTGGAAGAGGGCGGCCCCTGGAAAGGTGATGGGCCGTCCGATTGTATTTTCCCGGAATATACTGAGGTTGCAGCGTGATGTTGAATTTGGAACAAGTTTCGAGTAATTCTTTTGTCAGCTGCAGCAGCTTGATCAACTTCGTCCCCCCTTCCTTTCTGACATAAGCTATTACCGTGCGGTTGTCCGTCTGCAGCAGTACAATTTGGTTCCTTAGTACCATTGTACTTCTCTTGATTGCATCGAGAACTGCCCAAAGTTCTTTGCAGTTGCAGTGCCAGTATCATTGGCTCTCGGTCCACGTTCCTGAGATCGTGTACTCGTTCAGGGTTGCTCCCCAACTCCAGTCGGACGCGTCTGTTGTCAGGTAGCTCATCTTCTTCGTAATCCACACTGGTGATGACTGCTCTACATGCATCAACCACCACTGGAGGTCTTTCAGAACTGGCTTGGGGATTGGCGACCTTGTCTTTGAGAATTGGGGGAGTCTGTTGGATGTTTTCTGTGCTCTGCGGCAGTTTAGGCGACCTAAGGGTACTGCAAATGCCGCGAAATTCAGCCATGCCAATAGCCCTTCCGCCTCGCGCCAGTTCCATGACCCTCTCTGACTAAACCTCTGGATCTGTTTGCGGATGCGGTCCACTTTGACTTGTGAGAGCCGTTTCTCGGCTTTGTGGCAATCCCACATAATGCCCAAGAACTCTATCGTCGTCATTGGGCTATCGGTGGTCTTTGTCTTGTTTATCATGAAGCCTAATTTTGTGAGCAGCTCCACCGCTAGCTGTGCATGTTGCTGTCGATTTTGACTCACTATGAGAAAATCGTCCAGGTAAACTACCAGTCTGATGCCGCTTGATCTCGAGTTGTGCTAATCCAATTTGTAATCCTGGCGAAGACCAATGGTGCGGTCGAGATTCCGAATGGTAGGCATGTCATGTGATAGATTTTTCCTCTGTATGAGGCGGACAAAAACCTGCGATGTCCCTCGTGGAATGTGGAAATAGGCATTTTGCAAGTCGATCTTCATCAAATAATCGTTTTGTTGAAGAAAACTGGGAATCCTCTGAAGGTTGATAGGCCGAAACGGCTTTGGACTCAAAAACATGTTTAGGCGTTTTAAGTTTACGACAGTCCTCATGTTCCCGTCTTCTTTGGATACCAGAAAAATGGGAGACATGAAGCTGGTTTGATAAGTTGATGTCTCGATAGATTGATTATTGATAGTTTTGTTATTTCTTTGTCCATATCCTGGGACTGTTGTGTTTGCAGCGCCGCCGGTATACGGGCGTTCAACCTGGTCAATGGCGGTTGTGAAGCAAAAGGAATTTTGTATCCCTTTATGGTGTTTAAAATAATTTTTGGAGCTTGTATTAGTTGCCACTCTTTGACAAACGTCCTCAGCTGGCCAGCCTGAAAACTGTCAAAAATGCTTCCGGGCTTTCTTTTCCTTGGACGGTTCAGACTGTCCTACGATGTTTCTTTGCCTTTTCCTTCCCTGCATTGAGACTGCTTGACTACTGGAGCCCATACTACGTGACCCCATTCGATTTGCTGGTTTTTGCCTATGCGAGGCCTCCTGTGTTTCGGCTTTGGTTGTGGAACGATAGGGTACTCTCTTTGGAAAAATTTTATAATATTCTCCATGACTTTTGATTGTTTCCATTAATTTTCCTTCATCGAATAAGTGGGTTGTGGAGGGGGGATCTGCTTTAGCAGGTTAGTCATGTAAGTTGAAGATGACCTAACTAGGTCCCTCCTACGACTAATAACATCTGCTCTCCTGCCGCATGTCAGTTGCAGCAAGTCATCTGACACATCTAAATTCCGTATCACTACCACTGATATTTTCAAAGATTGCCTTTTTTAGGGTCGGAGAATCTACCTCCTTCAGAATATTTTCTATACCCCTAGCAAGAATTTGACGTTGCTTTAGAAGTCCACGGGAAATAGCTGCCAATGTTTGATCAAATTGCGCCAAGACCTCACTAAAGCACCATTTTGCCTCCTTATTTTTAATTTGTTCATTCATTTTGAGTGCCATAAAAATGGGTGTGCTTGTAACCGCTTCTGAGCATCAGCATATCGGATTTTGTTCCATCCCGATAGCCCTAAGCGTTGACAGGTACCTCCTTGCTCAGCCAGACACATATCAGCCTGAGGGACTATCGGCTCCAATTCCCTAACATCCAGAAGGAAGTCCACCAAGGGCCGATCCCGTTCCTCGTCGCCCATCAATCCGGGTAATGATCCTACGTCTTTTTTCTCAGACCTATTACCAAAGCTGTCCTCTCTGTCGTCATCCCCTGTTTCCGAGTAACACTCCGGGTTGGACTGACCCTGAAGTAACTGTTGTAGGAGGTGTTCAATATTTTGGGTCTTCGCTGTTAGATCTGAGATTGCATTCTCTGTCTCCTCCAAGCGTTTCGATTTGGTTAATCGATCAGTCTCCGTTGACGAAGCTCTCCTCTTTCTCACCAGATTCTCTTTGTTATCAGCCGCCCACCGACTCAGGTCGCGCGCACGCTAGACGGACCCCGGAGCGCACATGGGCGTGCGGCTGGGGATATGGGCTAAAAAGGGGGCTCTATACGTGCTGTAGCGAGGAAAAAAGGTAAGATGCAATCTCCGGGGGTCAAGCCGAAGGCTCAGACCTAAAATTAGGCAAAATGCTCGTTATTAGTTCCTAATACATTATTTGAACATTCAGCATTCTATCTTGTATGGTTTTCAAGAGTACTGTAATATAACAGATTTGATGTGCCTCCAACATTCACTTGACATTTGTCAGTGTGAAGTATAGTGGTATAAGAATTCAGTAAATCAAGAGGCGTCGTAGCGTAATGGGAATTACGATTGCGGAACCTCAGGAGGGAGCTTCGAATCCACGGAGCTACTTTTTTCTCTATTATTTTTATTATCTGGAGAAATAAAATGCTTTTTGTGTTTTGGGATAAACAATTAGAAATTCTCATAAACTACTTGACCAATCGATTCCAATTTTGTTGTGGTTATTCAGAATTATAAATCCTATGGATTTGAAGAATTCCAAGTAACTGCATGAAATTGTCATCGCATTAGCAACAAGTGTAAAAATCTGCATTTTGCCTCCTTTTCGGACTTTTTTCACTATTAGTCGGATCTTTTTACGTGTGGTCTCATTTTGTAGGTCTCACATAAACCTATATAGCTTCCGTTCCTGTCAACACTTTCAATTGAATGCCAAAAAACACGTTTTCTCATTCTTTGTT